CGGATCCCCCTCCTTATTCCTTCTACCTAGCTTCTACATTTTCTGCCCACCACCCTCTTCCTCGTTGCCCCCCCCTACTTTCCTCCCTTCGTTCCTTTTCCTTCTTTCTCCTGCTCTCTCCGAGCCCGAGCATGCGACGTAGCTCATGGTGACTTGAGATTTTGGCATCAATCCATTTATCTCTTGTTTGGAATGATGTGGCCTCTTGCGCACATTACTCATATGTTCACACTACTTCTGACGCAGGTGCCCTTATTTTGCATTTACTATGGGACATTTGTGCTTGAGGACGAGAACACCATAGCTGGTGCGATGGGAGTCTTCTCCTGATTCTTTACGCCCTGTATAGTTTGATCCACCTTAGGGGCATTGCTTATACCCTAACTTGTTTTGTTTTTATTTTGTTACTTTATTTTTATTGCAATTGAAATCTGCGTATCTCATCCTGTTTTATGATTTATTTATCTTTCCATGTACCTGCATGCACCGCACTGTTTCATGTGATCGCTTCGTTTGGATATGAGAAACATACAAGAAAATATATATATAAATGTACAAAGCAAAAGTATGGCAGTCACTATGGAAAACAATGGAACCATCAGGCACGTTGTACTGGTGACTCTGCCCAGTTACTAAGTTCACACTACTTTTCAGAACAGACTTTTTTATTGTTTCTGTAGTTAAAGGGATACTATCGACACTATAAAAACCATCAGGGGAGATGTAGTGCAAAACATCTGGAGAGCTGAAGGTTGCCCAGGTTTATCCTAAATAGCTCTGTTATTTGGCTAGAAATAAGGACGCAAGAACAAAATATGTAGTTAATATAATAAAACAACAGATATCCATACTGTAAGCCAATTTTATCACAGCCGCCATTAGTCTCAGAGTCTCAAGTGGAAACCAGGAAAATTGGTTATTAAGGAAAAGGTTGCACACTGAGGGCTGTCCCCATGTTTAAAGAAAATAAAGATAAAAAGGCGTAAAGAACGTCAAGAATATGCCATGATTTACTCTGATCTAATCACCTTTTATGCTGCCCTTGGCCTGGCCAAGATTATGTGCCACCATATGCCAAACCCATCCTACCGATGTTTCCCTCCATCTCCCCATCATCCTATCTCTCTCACTTATCCCTTCCTCTCTCTATAATTGTATAATTCCCACCAATCCCTTCCTCTCCTATACTCCTTCCACTTCCATTATCATGTATAACGTCTTATCACTCCCTCCCATTACTCACACCTGTCCTACTTAATTTTGCTCAATCTTTTGGGCCCTGGCCATTTGCTTTTCTAGGGGATCACAATCCTTGCCCTGTGCCTCAAACCAAGCCAAAGACCATGTGAGCAGTAATGTTCCTCAGCGAAGTCCCCAGAGCATGAGAGATAAGAGGTCACATGTTACTACACCCCTCGATACTGTCTCATAGAAGACAAGATGAAACTGAATAACAAACTTGCTCGGTCTCTGTGTTCCACTTATAGTCCTGTAATTTCCTCCAAACACAAAGAATTCACACAAGTGGGATGTTTTTATAAGATCGAGATGTTGCTACATGAACTGTTGGGTGTTTCTCTGCTGTTGAACCTATTGGGATTCAGGAAGTGTTCCGGAGAATTGGAGGAAGGCAGATGTGGTTCCTATATTCAAAAAGGGTTCAAAATCCTTGCCTGGAAATTATAGACCTGTGAGCTTAACTTCTGTGGCTGGTAAAATATTTGAAAGGTTATTAAGGGATAATATTCAAGAATTCCTTGAGAAGAACATGGTTATCAGCAAAAATCAGCATGGTTTTATGAAGCACAGGTCATGTCAAACTAACTTGATTGCGTTCTACGAAGAAGTAAGTAGAAGTATAGATCAGGGTGTTGCCGTGGATGTGATCTATTTGGATTTTGCCAAGGCATTTGATACAGTTCCACACAATAGATTAGTGTTCAAACTCAAGGAAATCGGTCTAGATGAAAATGCTTGTTCTTGGGTAGAACACTGGCTTAAAAACAGAGTACAAAGAGTTGTCATTAATGGTAAATTTTCAAGCTGGACAGAGGTGGCAAGTGGTGTCCCTCAGGGGGTCTGTTCTGGGACCCCTTCTATTTAACATGTTTATAAATGATCTTGAAGACAGCATTGAAAGTCATGTTTCAGTGTTTGCAGATGACACAAAACTCTGTAAAATAATACAATGTGAGCAAGATATTACTTTGCTGCAGAGGGATTTAGATAGACTGGGGTACTGGGCACTCAAATGGCAGATGAAATTTAATGTTGAAAAATGCAAAGTTATGCACTTCGGCGTAAAGAATACACAAGCAACGTATACCCTTAATGGAAGCGAATTAGGGATAACAACACATGAAAAGGACTTGGGAATTGTTATAGACAACAAACTATGCAACAATGTGCAATGTCAATCAGCAGTGGCCAAGGCCAGTAAGGTATTGTCATGCATGAAAAAGGGCATTCATTCTCGGGACAAGAATATAATTTTGCCTCTTTATAAATCACTGGTAAGACCCCATATTGAATATGCTGTGCAATTTTGGGCACCTGTTCTAAAGAAGGATATTATGGCACTAGAAAAAGTGCAGAGGCGGGCTACAAAATTAATAAAAGGAATGGAACATATCGGCTATGAAGAAAGGTTAACAAATTTAAACCTATTTAGTTTAGAAAAACGTCGCCTGAGAGGGGATATGATAACATTATACAAATATATTAGGGGCCAATACAAACCATTGTGTGGAAATCTATTCACAAACCGGACTTTACATAGGACACGAGGCCATGCGTTTAGACTGGAAGAAAGAAGATTTCGTCTAAGGCAAAGGAAAGGTTTTTTTACTGTAAGAACAATCAGGATGTGGAATTCTCTGCCTGAAGAAGTGGTTTTATCAGAGTCCATACAGATGTTCAAACGGCTACTAGATGCATACTTGCAAGAACAGAATATTCAAGGATATAATCTTTCAATGTAGGGTAATAACTGCTTGATCCAAGGATAAATCTGACTGCCATTCTGGGGTCAAGAAGGAATTTTTTTCCTAGCTTGTTGCAAAATTGTGCTTCAAACTGGGTTTTTTGCCTTCTTTTGGATCAACAGCAAAAAACAAACGTGAGGTAGGCTGAACTTGATGGACGCAAGTCTCTTTTCAGCTATGTAACTATGTAACTATGTAACATGGGATTGGCTATGAAAAGGGAATTAATTAATCTTAAACTTTCAGCTGTTAATTAGATAGCTCTCTAATTTAGTATCTTTATATTTGGCAATCCCACATAAAGATACCAAATTAGGGAGTTATCTACTAATCTGATAAAAGTTTAAAATAAAAATAAAAACTTTTCTAAATAGTCCAGTTGTTTAGTAAATAGTTCCCTAATTTGATATCGTTATATATGTCACCTTTAGAGGAAGTGTCTGGGGTTAAACTGTTAATGGTTTAACACCTTTAGTTGATATGGTGCCATGGACCTCATAATACCATAACAACTTAATTATGAAAAAGTTGTCATGGTGGCCAGAGTATCCCTTTAACCGCTTAAGGACACATGACACGTGTGACATGTCATGATTCCCTTTTATTCCAGAAGTTTGGTCCTTAAGGGGTTAATGCCACAACCACAACTTATGAAATTAAGTTGTTTATTTTCCTGTGATTTAAATTCTTTTTCGGTTATTTTTAATTGGATATAATATCAATAGACATTATGCAGTCAGCCATTATTCCTGCATCATAGATCATCAGGTTCTATTGTGATGTCACAGACCAGATAACAGATAACAGAGTTAGTGCTGGTTATACTGGCATTTCACAAGCAGTTTTATTGCAGTGAGATGATTTACAGAGACAATGGGTAACGTTATTTCTATGATTGAACGTCCCCCGGTTTCACGGCTGGGGGGTAATCAACCCCCACCCAGGAATTCTACTAAAAAAGAATTCAGAAAACAGCCAAACATCCAGCCTTCTACGGACAGGTAAGTGAGCAGGCAAGATATACAAGGGTGTAAAAATAGTAAAATGTATAGGAAATTATAAAAGTGTTTTGAGTCCACGATCAGACAGCACCATCCTGGGATGAAATGAGTCTGGAAGACTTTCCCAAGTTTTACACATTAAATCAATTTATTTAACCATCACATTACAACCCAAATAGCAATAAATAATATATAATAAGTTCTATTATCATCTCCTAAACACACTCGCTGATTCCAGAAAAATAAGACGCCCCCCCTTAATACAAAGGCACTTAGCTCCAAGGTAGAGCAGCGTTCACTCAATAAACATATCCAGGTGAGATGATCTTTCAGTTGTTTAGTAGATAGCTCCCTAATTTGGTATCCTTATATATGGCAGTCCAATTTAAGGAAACCAAATTAGGGAATTATCTATTTAACGGATCAAAGATCAATATTGCAGAAAAAGGTATTTTCTTAATAAAATCTTGCAGTTGTTTAGTAGATAGCGCCTTAATATATTATCCTTATGTGGGATTGACATGGGATTGGCCATGAACAGGGCTTTTCTTAAATTTAATCTGTCAGATGTTCAGTAGATAGCTCTGTAATTTGGTATCCTTCTATTTGGCAATCCCACATAAAGGTACCAATGGCTTCAGGCCTTTAGAGGAAGTGTTTGGGGTTAAACTGTTAATAGTTTAACACCTTAAGGTGAGATGATGCCACGGATCTCATCACACCATAACAACTTTGCTGTGATAAAGTTGTTCTGGTGGTCGAAGAATCCTTTTAATGCCACAACCACAATTTAGGAAATTAAGTTGTTTATATGTCTGTTATGCCTGTTACTTAAACTATATTTTAATTTTCAATTGGATTTAATTTCCATAGACATTATGCAGTCAGCCATTATTCCTGCATCATAGATCATATTTTGTGATGTCACTGAACAGATAACAGATAACAGAGTTAGTGCTGGTTATACTGGCATTTCACAAGCAGTTTCATTGCAGTGAGATGATTTACAGAGACAATGGGTAACGTTATTTCTATGATTGAACGTCCCCCGGTTTCACGGCTGGGGGGTAATCAACCCCCACCCAGGAATTCTACTAAAAAAGAATTCAGAAATCAGCCAAACATCCAGCCTTCTACGGACAGGTAAGTGGGCAGCGGCTGCAGGTATCCTATTGGATGGGGTTATTAGAAGATGGGGGTCAGAGTTCGATAGAGATTAGATTAAAGGATAGTTTGTTAATGGGCATCATTTCTATAAAATGACACAGCTTTCCTGTAGATTGAATAGTGTCATCTTGAAATGAATGGGAGTAACATAAGGGTTAAAATCCTTAAAATGTGAATTTGAGTTTCATCTCTTAGTTATTCTTCTTAACAGATGAGATAAAAAATGAACAAAACAATAAACGTGTGTAGCTTAGTCCATTTGTAGTGATTGCATTAAAATAAGCAGGCAAGAAATATAGGGGTGTAAAAAACAAGTAAAATATCTAGGAATTAATAAAGGTGTTTTGAGTCCCTGATCAGACAGCACCATCCTGGGATGAAATGCAGGATGACATGCGTCTTGAAAACTTTCACAGGTTTTATATATTAAATTGAATTATTTAACCATTACAATACAACCCAAATAGCAATGCATAATATATAATGGCTTCTTGTATCATCTCCTAAACACACTCGGTTATTCCAGACATAAAACGTCAAATGTGCGAAATATGAAACTTCACTAATCACTTTTTCTTTTCTCAATAGGCTAGCTCTTAAAGCAGAGCCCCAGACATTCCCCCAGATATCACCTAATCTGGATATTTCTCTAGAAACTGAGAAGGGGAAGAGACGGGAGCAGCGGGAACAGAATGGCGGGTTTGTGGAAGAAGTTCTAAAATGTTGCCAAGAAGGCACATTTAGACGTCGCCTTCCCCCTTCTGTTACATCTAAATTTGCTGTGCTTGATAAAAGGTAAATACTCTGTGATCACATTAATCAAAGGGGGGTCTTGTACTTTATTTCTATTGCTTTTGTTTTAACAAATTGAGATATTAACCTCTGCGATGGGTGCTGTAAAGATCAGCCTGAACTTTTTGTTTTTTTTCTTTAAAAGCTTTAGACATTATGATACCTATGTCAGATATAAAAAAGAGGAGAAGATTCCCGATGTACCATACTATATTCGGGTGACTCCAAAGAAATCCAACGTAGAAATACGATATGCTCGACCACCTAGGTAAGTGTACCATGAGACACAGAATAACCAACCGCAATCCTATAAGGTTATCCAAATAAAACTGCATTGTCCTCAGTAAACAAATACACTGGTTCTTTCACTGGCTGGCTGTGTACGCAGGAAACCAAGGCGAGAAGAACCACAGATAGAGAAATATGTCAATGGTCTTTCTGAGCCAACATCACAAATCACAAAATAGACTATTTACTGATATTACTGTATCCAGAATGTAATGTACGACACATAGAGGATGTTATGGTGTCACTATAAGCTGTGCAATAATGACTGATGGATAATGAGAGATGGGGTAACTGACGGACCGGAAGAATGGAAAGGGAGGAAAGGACATCATTGCTACAACTGTATTTGAATTTTTCCTCTTTTCATTGCAGGGACCCATTCCTTTTCTCTAAGGTAAAGCCTACATTACTTCTAACTCAATACAAAACAACTAAAAAGGCTCGAAATGTCCCAGAAAAGGAAGTCAGCAAAAAAAGACTGGAAAATGCAGAAACATTCTGTGCAGAGTGTTATAAACAGAATAATATTCTACTGTCAGAACCTGTCACAAGTGTAGATGATATTGTTTGTCAGCCTTCTACAGGCAGGTAAGTGGCCAGTGACTGCAGGTATCATATTAGATGGGGTTATTGGAAGATGGGGGTCAGAGTTGGATAGAGATTAGAATAAAGGATGGTTGGTTAATAGGCATTATTTCTATAAAATAATATAGTTTTCCTGTAGATTTAATAGTGTAATTGAAATGAATGGTTGTAATATACGGGTTAAAATCCTTAAGATGTAAATTTGAGTTTAATCTATTAGTTATTTTTCTTAACAGATGAGATGAACAAAACAATGAATGTGTGTAGCCCAGCCCATATGCAGTAATGGAATTTAAAATAAAATACGCAGGCATGATATACAGCGGTAAAAAGAAGATAAAATATATAGGAATTAGTAACGGTGTTTGAGACCCTGATTGGGCAGCTCCATCCTGGGATTAAGCACAGGATTAATTTAGTCCAGACATGTCACAAGTATTACACATCAAATTGAATTATTTAACCATTAAACTACGACCCAAATAGCAATATATAATGCTAATTATTTTATCATCTCCTAAACATACTCGGTTATTCCAGAAATATAACATCAAACGTGTGAAATATGAAACTTCACTAATCACTTTTTCTTTCCTACTTGGGGAACCTCTTAAAGCAGAGCCCCAGCTCCAGGTTTCTTTCTATTGTTGATGTTTTGTTTTAACAAATGGAGATTTTAACCTCTAAGCTGGGTGCTGCAAGAATTAGTCTGAACTTTTTGTTTTTTGTGTTTTTCTTTAAAAGCTTTAGACATAATAATAACTATGTCAGATCTGGAAAAGAGGAGAAGATTCCCGATGTACCATACTATACTCGGGTGACTCCAAAAAAACCAATGACTTATGTTCGACCACCTAGGTAAGTGTACCATGAGACACAGAATAACTGACAATAATCCTATAAGGTTATCCAAATGAAACTGCAGGGTCCTCAGTTAGCCAATACCCAGGTTCTATCACTGACTGTCTGTGTACACAGGAAACCAATGAGAGAAGATCCACAGACAGAGAAAGATGTCAATGGTCTTTCTGAGCCAACATCACAAATCACAAATTGCATTAGTTAACCATTAGAATACAACCCAAATAGCAATTCATAATATATAATGGCTTCTTGTATCATCTCCTAAGCATACTCGGTTATTCCAGAAATATAACGTCAAATGTGCGAAATATGAAACTTCACTAATCACTTTTTCTTTTCTCAGTAGGCTAGCTCTTAAAGCAGAGCCCCAGACATTCCCCCAGATATCACCTAATCTGGATATTTCTCTAGAAACTGAGAAGGGGAAGAGATGGGAGCCACGGGAACAGAATGGCGGGTTTGTGGAAGAAGTTCTAAAACGTTGCCAAGAAGGCACAAAGAGTCTTTGCCCTCCCCCTTCTGTTCCATCTAAGTTTGCTGTGCTTGATAAAAGGTAAATACTATGAGATTACATTAATCAAAGGGGGGGGGATATTGTAGGTTTTTTTCTATTGTTGATTTTTTGTATTAACAAATTGAGATTTTAAACTCTAATAATATGCTCTAATAATCAACTTTTTGTTTTTTGTGTGTTTCTTCAAAAACTTAGACATAATAATAACTATGTCAGATATGGAAAAGAGGAGAAGATTCCCGATGTACCATACTATATTCGGGTGACTCCAACAATAACCAACAAACCAATGACTTATGTTCGACCACCTAGGTAAGTGTACCATGAGACACAGAATAACTGACCATAATCCCATAAGGTTATCCAAATGAAACTGCAGGGTCCTCAGTTAGCCAATACCCTGGTTCTCTCACTGGCTGTCTGTGTACACAGGAAACCAATGAGAGAAGAACCACAGACAGAGAAAGATGTTAATGGTCTTTCTGAGCCAACATCACGAATCTCTGGGGAGTACTAGAGCAACGTGACTTACTAAGCATTACCTAATTTCAATAAGATATGAATTTTAATATAAACATAAGCTTTTATAATACAAAATTAACTATATACTGAAATAACAGAAAGTATAATGTAATGTCTGAACCATAAATGGTGTGATAGTATCACTGTAAGCTGTGCAATACTGACTGATAAAGAGTGAAAGAGTTGCTGACAGGATGAAAGTGAGAGGAATATGATACGTGACAAAATGGGCTGATGGATGGAAAGGGAGGAAAGGATATAATTTTTACAATTTTTTTTTTACTTTTCCTATTTTCATTGCAGGGACCCATTCCTTTTTTCTAAGGTAAAGCCTACATTACTTCCAAAAAAACACATAGCAACTATAAATGCTGCAAGTGTCCCAGAAAAGGAAGTAGACACAAATGGACTGGAAAATGAAAAGAAATATTCTGCAGAATATTGTGATCAGATTCCTATTCTACATCCTGAACCCATCACAAGTCTAGAGGATATTCCTTGTCCTCTGCTGAAGTCTATGTCTCTAGAGCCTACAGAGGTTATCACACGTCTAGAAGACAACAATTCTCTAGAATGCACTGTCTGTACTATCGAACCTCATACAAACAGATTGACAGAGGAGATTCCAGTACACCTTGGGCACCCACAGTCCTCTTCGAGTTGTTCACCTGAGCTTACAAATCTAGATTCTAAGAACCCAATCACAGTTCATTGTCATTCCGTGCAGTTTATGTCTCCAGAGCCTACAGAGGTTATCACATGTTTAGAAGACAACAATTCACTAGAATGCACTGTTTGCACTATCGAACCTCATACAAACATATTGACAGAGGAGATTCCAGTACACCTTAGGCACCCACAGTCCTCTTCAACTTGTTCACCTGAGCTTACACATCTAGATTCTCACGACTCAATCACAGTTCAGGAACCTGGTAGTCTACTAGAGAGCCCAGTTTGTCCTGCCAAACCACACACTGGTGAAATGTTAGTGGAGCTGCCAGTAAACAATGTGACTTATCACTCTGAGACTAATTTGGATTCCCCCACTATTCAGCCAGAGGGGTTGCTTCAAATCAATCAAGAGAGCATCGCTGAGCAGAACCAAACTGAGATTAAGAATAATCAACCTGAAGCACGTGTGAGCCTGAGCAGTGATCCCGGAGAGCAGCCATTGCCAAAGAAAGAAGACAAAGAAAAAGGACCACCTGGTGAGGCCGGTATAGTACCAATGCAAATCACAGAAAGCCAAGACCTTGCGGTACCTGCACTCCAAGAGAAAACAAATATTAAAACAAAGGTAGAAAGAATACGCTATGATAGGGATTCTTTACTACAATTCCAATCAACCACACTGCAGCCAAAGGACTTCTTCGAAATCTTAAATATCTACCAAGGTATGCTTATTAGACCTCACCTTCGGCCAGTGCATCCATCACAACTTACCAGCAAGAATTGCACACCTATATCTGAAAATGTTTCCTGTCGTGCTAAGGGTAATCACAGACGACCTGGAATGGGTCAAATGAGATCTCATCACACTCCTGGTAAAGAACCTCGCAGGATCCTTCAACTACATGAGAACATTACACTGCAAAAATCTGACAAAGCTTGGAAACCTCCAATGAAAAGGGCAAACAAAGATATCAAACATGTCAAGACACAAGAATTGCTTTGCAAAGTCCGTGGTATTCTGAATAAGATCACTCCACAGACGTTTCAAAACCTTATCAAACAGCTGAAGGACCTCTCTGTAGAGACAGAGTATGAGCTGAAAGGCGTTGTAGAACTCATTTTTGAAAAAGCGATAGCAGAGCCACATTTCGCTGTTATTTATGCTAGTATGTGCAACTGGCTAATGAGGCTTCAGGTCCCAACCGAAGACAATCGTGAAATCTGCATTACGTTCCGCAGGCAGCTAATAAGCCTCTGCCAGAAGGAGTTTGAGAGAGGGGAAAATGGAGGTGAAAGAATTGAAAAATTGCAAAAGGAACTGGATGCAGCTACGTTACCTGAGGAAAAGTCTCGATTAAAGGAGGAATTAATTGAAGCCTGCAAGAAATCACGCAAGCGATCCCAAGGGAACATCAAATTTATTGGGGAGCTATGTAAATTAAAATTACTTTCTGAAGACACCATGAAAGACATTCTTAGTAAACTATTGAACAGGAACAGCGAAGAGTCCATGGAATGCATCTGTCTTCTGCTAACATCAATTGGGAAGTACCTGGAAAATGGAGAGTCTTACATGGATGACTATTTCAACAAGGTTGGTATCTGTATTAAAAACAAGACAATATCTTCACGGATTCGATTTATGGTGCAAGATGTGCTGGATTTAAGGAAAAATCACTGGATCCCTCGACATAAACCCCAGGGTCCGAAAACCATAGATCAAATTCACAAAGAGGCAGAACTGGAATCCAGAGGAAAAGCGCAGTGACCCAAACAAACAAAAAACAAACACTACTCCTTCCATGGACACCTGGGTATACACAACAGATGTACAGAGACAAGCCTGCAGATTCATTCACATAAATATATTCAAAATCATTCAGGCAGCGACACCAACTTTTATGCCCAAAGAAACACCTACTCATATACAGACAGAGACGAATGCATATTCACGACAATGACAAATTCAGAAATAATGCAAAGACAAACACATTCCCATACACTCACACATCATTTCATCATTGACAAATAAAATACTTACTGGCATGACAGAACCACCACTGTTTTACTAGACACATATATTTTCTATATTGTATATTTTATTACAACAATAAATTCTGTTCTTCTAATTTACTCTGTTATAGTGATGTTGGTTTGTTCATTGTTGTTGTTTTATTGCCGTGGCTGTTGCTAGGTTTTAAATATACCTATAGATTCATTCTATACCATATCTCATGGACACCATCCTATTGCCTCATCCCTTGGTTTCTCTGTAACTGCATAGTACACACTCCCTTACAGAAAACCTCCAAGCACCAGCGGGCTGTAGTGGTTATGGTGCCTGGAGTATCCTGCCGCCCTCACAACTTTTTCAGACAGCGCAGATCCACTTGGGCGCCCAGGAGCTCGTACATTGAGCTAAACCAGAGGTCCCTGGCTTAGCTCATTGGTTGAGAGCACTCAGCTTACCATCTCAGCCAGTGGGTTTAAAAAGTGGAGTAAATGGAAGCTCCTTCTGTGAGTGTGTAAAGACACTCCTAGCACCATAACTACTGCAGAAGACTTGTTAAAGTGCTTCAAATATTCTTTTAGACCCCTTCAGGGCTGGGGTATAAATAGTGCGTAGTATTGGAGCAAACTAATGCACTGCATATCTCAGTCACTGAAAGGTTTAAGCTGCGCAGGCTGTTTAACTGTCTCTCCCTTGTTGCGGTCCAGTGGGCATTAATATTAGGGAGTTAAAATATTCATTTAAAGTTCTTAAAACAAAGGCACATATTTGCCAAACATTTTAAGAGTTATTAAGTACAGTAAGACTTTAAAGCGAATTTCAAAATTGAGGACAAAATAGCTAAATTGGAAACATAGCTGACTTGGAGAATGTCTCCATTTCAGTTTTGTGGCCTCCAATGTGAATTTCACTTTGAATCCCCAGTGATTCTCACTTCAGTGCATAACCCTGAAAGGATCAGCGAGTGGCAAAAAAAAGAGTGGGGTTGCAAAAGTAATTTCTATGATGACCCCCTGCATAGTAATCCATCAGGAGATAGATAAAGAGGGTCCTACATTATACTGAGAGGAGAAATACAACATAAAATATATACAATTGTTAACGTTTATGTTCCTAACCATGCAGTGATAAACTTTATAAAGAAAGTCCTATTAAGGATCAAGGAGAGTTACTATTGCTAGGAGAATGTAATTGTTTAATGGACATAACGCTAGATAGAAGATCATACACAGTTCTAAAACAAGACACAGCTCTCGATCAATTCAGTTAGATTTAAAGAAATGACCAAACTAAATTCTCTATTAGGTATATGGAGAGTGTTTCATCCCGAAGACCTGGATCTGATCTATTTCTATAAAACATGTCATACATATTCTCGGATAGACTTTGTTTTCATAGAATGAAGCATAGCTAAATGAGTAACAAGGATTTTTATGAAAGAATTTACTTGGTCAGATCATAACTTGTTAATTATAGATATGGAAGATGATCTAATAAGACTTCGGTCAAATTGGAGACTAAATTAAAGTCTATTAAAAAAAAACAACAATAAATTCTTAAGCCACAAAAAATATACAAATTTATTCTTCTTAGAAAACAGAAAAAAAGATATATCACCAGCAATAACATAGTTTATGTATAAAAGTGTACTATGAGGTTATATAATAAAAAGAAGAACAATAGTAAAATAAAACAATTTAAAAAAATTGTCTGATCTATATATCACATTGGATGCTTTGCCTGCAGAAAATAAAGCCTCTCCGAATCCTAATGTAACATACAATATTAAATAGATTTAACACAAATATATATTATTTAGGAAACAAAGCAATTCAATTAATGTCATACAAATTTAAAAAAGGACAAATTAAAAAACTTTATTTCAAAAATCATAGAAAACTATTTTATGACCTCCAGAAGAGTCACAGAAAAGTTTTGTCAATTTCTATCAAACATTATATAATCTCCCCGAGAAAATTGATCAGATTAAATTACAAGATTTTTATTTTTTTAAAATGACATCTCTCTAAATTAAATCAGTTAGAATATTTAAATAAAACTATTAGGTAGAAGGAAGTTAAAGAAATAATAGATAAATGTAAACTAGGAAAATCATCGGGTCCTGATCAATATAGTAACTAATTCTTTAAGTGTTTTAGAGAGAACATTACTCCAGATTTATCAAAAAAAAAAAAAAATTATTTATGAATGGGGAAGAGATCCCTCAAGAATAAATTAAAATCCTACAAGAATTCTAAATTACCGCCCTATTGCCTTATAGAATGCAAAATATTTACTATTGCCTTATAGAACGCCGAACACAGATATTTACTGCCATTTTTGCAGAAAGATTCAAAAAAGGTATTGGCTTCCTCATACATCCAAACCAGGCACAATTTATTCAAGGGAGGTTATTATCTATTAACATGTGTAGATTGATAGACATATTGGATAATGTGGAGCAAAATGGCACTTTACTCCAGACCCTATCATTAGACGTAGAGAAGGCGTTTGACAGGATCAGGTGGGAGTTTCTAGTAAAAGCTTTATGTGCAATGGGAATTGAGGGAAAGACAGTAATGAGATACTTCAACCCAATAGCAAGGATAATTAGCAATGGAGTGCCCTCTGACTGGTTCCCAAGAAATAACTGCACCCACCAGGGTTGCCTACTGTCTCCCCTATTATATGATATCACAATTGATGTTCTAGCGCAGTCAATTAGACAAAATGTAGCAATAACAGGTTTGAATCGTATCATTATCAATCAAAGATTATAATGTATGCAGATTACATTGTCATGGCATTACAAAATCCTTGGGAATCCATGAAAGAACTAATGAATTTAATACAAATATATTCAGATACATCAGGATATAAACTTATTTGGGAAAAATCGTGGTCTTCAACAATCTCTAGGTAGGTGGTTCGTGTCAAAGTATCATCCACATAAATGCCAGGTTTCCCAGCAGAATGCTGCCCCGAACATAACACTGCCTCTGCTGGCCTGCCTTCATCTCAGAGTGATTCATGCTGTCATCTCCTCCCCAGATAAAGTACACACACGCACCCAGCCACCAACCTGATCTAAAAGGAAATGTGATTCATCAGACCAGAAAACCTTCTTCCATTGTTCCATGGTCCAGTTCTGATGCTCACATCCCCATTGAAGGCACTTTCTGCGGGGGACAGTTGTCATCATGGGCACTTTGCCCAGTCTTCAACTACGCAGTAAACTGTGATGTGCTGTGTGTTCTGACACCCTTCTATCGTGGCCAGCTTTACGTTTTTCAGCAATATGAGCTACAGTAGCTCTTCTGTGTGATTGGACCAGATAGAGTAGCCTTTGCTCCCCACATGCATTAATGAGACTCGGGCGCCCCTGTCTCTGACACCAGTTCATCAGTTGTCCATTCTTGCATCACTTGTAGTAGGTACTAACCACTCTATACCGGGAACACCCCACAGCACTTACATTTTTGGAGATGCTCATAACTACTAGCCATCACTACTTGGCCCTTGTCAGAATCACTCATGTATTTTCCTGTCCCAATTTTTCCTGCTTCCAACACAAGATATTTAAGAACTAGCTGTTCACTTACTGCCTCATATATCACACCCTTTAACAGGTTCCATTGTAACGATATAATAAATGTTATTCACTTCTTGGCATGTGCAATTTGATTCGTTCCGAATGCAAATTCAAACGAATTTTGGAAATTCAGACATTTGGATGCTTTCGAATGTCCGAAGTGCCGAATTTTCGAAGTGCCAAAGTGCTGAATTTCGGAATGCCGAACTGAACCGAATTGCCGAATTTCTGAAGTGCCGAAGTTCCGAATCTTGGAATGCTGAACCGAACTGAATTGCCGAAGTGCCAAATTTCAGAAGTGCCGAAGTGCTTTGGATTTCTGAAAAGTGGCCAAACGGGAGAGAGTTGGGGTTAGGGGATGGGATAGGGGTAGGGTAGGGGTAGGGTTACCCTATTCCTAACCCTACCCATACCCCTAACCCTACCACAAGCCATACCCTAACCCTACCCCTAACCCTACTCCTAACCCTTCCCCTAACCATACCTCTAACCCTACCCTACCCCTAACCCTACTCCTAAGCCAACCCTAACCCTACCTCTAACCTAACCTAACATAACCCTACGCCTAACCCTACCCTTAACCCTACCCTAACCCTACCCCTAACCTAACCCTACACTTACCCTAAGTCCCGAAGTGCCGAAGTCCTGAAGTGCTGAACTTCCGAAGTCCCTACCCCTACCTTACCCCTAACCCTACCTCTAACCGTACCCTAACCCTAACCCTAACCCCACGCCTAACCCTACCCTAACCCTACCCTTTACCCTACCCCTAACCCTAATCCTACCCTAACCCTACCCCTAACCTAACCCTACCCTAACCCTACACTTACCCCAAGTCCCGAAGTACCGAAGTCCCGAAGTGCTGAACTTCTGAAGTCCCTACCCCTAACCTTCACCCAACCCTACCTCTAACCCTACCCTTACCCTACCCCTAACCCTACCCTAACTCTGCCCTAACCCTACTCCTAACCTAAACCTATGCCTAACCCTACCCTAACCTAACCCTACCCTTACCCTGAAGATCCGAAGTGCCGAAGTTCCAAAGTGCCGAAGTTCCGAAGTGCTGAAGTTCTGAACCAAACCGAAGTGCCGAAGTCTCGAAGTGCCGAAGTCACGAATTTCGGAATGCCGAACCGAATATTTTTCCCATGCACATCTCTATTTACTTCACCTGTCAGTGGTTTTAATGTTGTGGCTGATTAGTGGAAATGTTAATAATAATAATTAATTATAATTCAGTGTTTAGTGAATTAAAACTAATTGATAATTGTTACCCCTATACTCCCGCAAGTCAATGCACCCGATGATAAACCTTCTTAAGTTAAACCATTATCAGGACACAGGAGCTGAGGTGCCAATACCCAATGTTCTGAAAACTGTTTGGCGGAAGTATAAT